CCCGATAAGTGGCGCAACTAACTGTCCACTAGAGACGAAAAAAAAAAGCAAAAAGAATGATCTTTAGGATTGTTTTGGTCGTTTTAGCAATGCATATGTATATATTAATAAAGTTAATTTTTTTTTCTTCTACTTCTGCCTCTCCTTTACTGTCGAGTTTTTTGGTGTTTTTTGGTGTAATAGAGGAGGTCTACAATAATGAATTTATGATACAGTTTTTTATAATCGTCGAACAATTCTGCTCAGTTAACTTGCCAGCTTGCCTGCCTGCTTGGTTGCTTATGTTTGCTTCTGTATACAAACACAGGAGAAGGAAAGAGGAAAAAAATAGAAAAAGAAAGAAAAAACTATTCTTTTTACTAAAGACAAAGCAAATTTTTTGAACATAAAAATTGATTTTCAATCACTATTTATCCCTGTCATTCTTTCCTCTGTTAATCCACTGATACTAAAAAAAGTTGCGCATCATTCTTTTTCTTTTATTCTCTCATCTCGTGCCATCATTTTCGTTTTTCATCTATTTTATTTTTTTCTTTCTTTTTGTTTATTTATTTACATTATCTATTCTGAATGGTCAACGTAAAGACAAATTACCAACATCATCATCTTCTTCCTCCTTCTCATCTTCTTTCTCCTTCTCCACATCGCTATTATCATCGTGATCGTTATCGTCTCAGTTCTTCTGTCGTTCTCGCTGAGTTTCTCTTGATTCATATGATTTAGGAGTTAAGCACTTATTTGAGGTTTAGATTTTATTCTTTTCTTGTTAGTATTAATTATTAGGGTCCCATGTGACAGACAAATTAGACATTTATACTTTGAAACATTGACACAAATATACACACACAGACTTAAATCATATTTGCTTGCAACATCAGCCTTAGCGTCAACAACAGTTGCAGATGGATGAATAAGAGAATGAATGATTAAACTTTGACCACACAGTGAACTGATCTTCTTTATTGGGTTAATTGCAAACGGTGACAGATCGATGTGTCATATGCAAGTTTTCAGAGTGACGAAAAAATGCGTGGAACCTTTTCTTTACCGGTTTTTTTTTTTGGCACTTTACCGTTTAAAGATTTTATTTTTTAATTCAACCATGTTTTCTTGTTACTTATTTAAAGCAATGCTTAACGGTTAAAAAGTTAAGGACAAAAGTTGAAGTCTGTACTGTCTGCGGTTACTCTGCTGCTTGATCTTCGTTCTTTTGGGCTTCTTTTATTGCTTTCAGATTTTCCGGTTTTGAATGATGGCTGAAAAATGTAGTTCCTTCAAATGCAAAGGAAAAACTCATTATTTTTTTTCATTTTTCTCATTTTTTTCAAATTCAGATTTATATCAAATAAACAAAACACATTTATCGTATTTTTTTTTCACTTTCTTTGGCTCTTCACTCTCTGAATGCACCCTGTTCAATTAGAATATCTTAGTGGACAGGAAGTTCATAAAATACATGGCACTTAGTTAGTACTTTAATTCAGTCTACCAGTAAAATTTTTCTTCGTGTTATAGTAAATGTTGTTGTTGTTAAAAGTTATTTTTTCTATTTCTGCTCTTGTTTATTTTCTGATTTTAACAGTAAAAAAAGTGTTAGCAACAACAGAAGATTTGTGGTAATACAACATTTGAAAAGTTGTTTTTTTTTTTTTTTTTTTTTTTTTTTTTTTT